TTATTTTTTTTGTACAACGAATTATGGCTCACATGTACTATTCTGGATTCTATATGAAATAATATTTTTACTAAAACTAAATTTATGTACAAATATTATTTCATTTACCAGTATTAAATATATGTTTGAACGAAATTGAACAACAATAATAATATATAACTCGAGGTTATCACGAAGAAAAAATAATAGCAATGTACATTTATCAAGAAATGATAGGTGGAACATAAAATAAAACCGTCATAATATAATTTATATTGCTAGTGAATGGCTGACGGGCACAAAAATAAATGTAGTCAATAATTTAAAAAAAAATTAAAAACTATTATTTCAATGCAATACAAACAAAAAAGAAGAGTAATGTAATGCAATGTATAGCATTATTATGTATTGTGTAACTTTCAGTATAATATGAGTTCATGAGTATTGTTATAGTTATTGCTAACAAATAATAATACATTTCACATTGATTTTATCCAGTTTTTGTCTTTTTTTTGCATTGCATAACAGAAATAATTCATATTATGCTGCATTAACATTACTACGAATAAGAAAAAAAAAATTTGAATTTATAGATTGAAATGATTTGTTTGCTTATTTTACAATTTACACAGCCTTTAAAGAATATAATTAATTTTGACGTAATTTTTAGTAATTAAGGGCACATCAYCTCTCTCTCGCATACATTTTGTTTTTCTTCAGGAATAAAATGTACATTTATACRATGCGATGAACATGCGAAGTGAATCAATCAAGACGAATAACCAAAAGAAAATCGAAGATAGGAATACGTGGAAAAGCAGTTTTATCGCAAAATTAATTTAAAGTCAGGTAACCAATAGATTGGTGTATATATATATGTTATATTATTTTAATCAGATTCTCATGTACAACCCGTGTACGTCAAAATCGCGTGCTGCAGTCTCCATGTTTTTAGACGTCTTTCCTCCGCAAGTCGATACCCATCTCTTATCATCATGAACACGCTACTTATTGTACTACTCCTCATGTACGACAATAACAATATTATGTATTCTCACAAAACTTCTAAGGATATTTTTCYACCAGCTTAATCGATATTTGGGTGTATGAAAAAACAAAAGTYGGGTATAAAATCCTCGAGAATTTCTATAACTGTTTTGATGAGATTTAATCGCGAGTGCTGTTGGTTAGGGATTGAAGGAGGGTGTGTTGAAAACGTTATAATTTTTCGCTTTGCGTGTTATAGGATATATTTTAATATCCGCACAACACCTGCTGCAGTGTTAAATGTCCGWCCACCCTCTGTCATACAATTATCACGTCTTTCGCGGATAGTCTTTTGTGCAGCGATGCGCATCGTAACCTGAATAATTGCGGTCTTATCGATCAGTATTTTGCATATTAATTTCATTTATTACCTCTGGTGTCACGAAATAGCTGGGGCTTTTTTCAATGGTGATTTGGTTGGGGAACGAGTACGGCATTCGCCTCCTGTACCAGTCCAAGCCACGTTCGTAGTTGTCGTCCCGGTCGAAGAAGTGCACCTCGCCGTTGGCCTTTTGCACAGACTTGTGCAGGAACAACATCTCCAACAGCGCCCGCGTGCCACCTTTCCGCACACCGATGATGATCGCCTGCATAYGACATCGTAACACATTGATTAAAACCCAAATATCATAATAATTGATTATTATAAATACACAAGAGCAGGGGATTCCATTAATGTGCACCTGTCAATCAATAATGGTAAAATCCACATAATATGATAAAGTTTTGTACATCTGTTCCAAAGCATGTTAATATGTAAATATGTTAATATGTTTATATGTATATTATTTATATTGTTTACGGCTCCAGTTTAATAAAATTTTATTTTGTAATTCAATTTTGTTAAGTATGTTAACGAGTTCGACGTTATTATAATATATAATTMATAATAATTGTAATAAAATAATTGACTCGATAACGTAAAATACAAAATAAGCCGATAATTTTCTATCTTTC